CTCTCTCTCTCTCTCTCTCTTTTTTTTTGTTTGGGTGCTTCAACTCTTCTCTTCGTTTGACAACCTCCCCTGCCGTTTGGCCATTATCTTTCCCCCCTTTACACTAGTTCGCCTCTTCTGCTATGAACGAGAACCAGACCGCGGGGCCGGCCCCATCAGACACCCCAGTGCGTGAGAAGGAAACCGCCCACGAGCAGGCGCAACAGCCTGAGGGCGTAACGGAAACCCCCACGGAGAACCATGACCCCAACTATTACCAAAACTACTATTATGAGCCCTCGGATGGAAATTATTATTATTACCCTACACAGGATGAGGTGGCTAACGAGGCGGCCCAAGCCGCAGACGAGGTTCCTGTCACAGCAGAAAATCTGATTCGTTCATATGAGTTTGAGGATTGGGAACCTCGTTCCTACGGCTGGTTCATCGATATTATTTTAGAGATTTTTACGTCCGTGGAGTTTAGGCTGTATCTTTTTTTTCTACTTTACTGCGCTGGGGCCCTGCTGCTGCTTCTAGCGTTAAACTGGTCCTTTGAGGTGCTGTTTAGAATGCATGTCTCTCCATCGGGCAGACAATTTGACGCTTCATATCTACTTGGGTTTTTCACAGTGTTTATTCTCTTGAGCTTCACCTTGGTGACTTGCTTTTGCACCTGGATGGATATGCTAAAGGGTCTGAAGCACCTTAAGCGCGAGGACGTCTACTTTTTGGGAATGTCCCATTACGCGGCAAAAAACCCACCGTACATTATTTACCTTGTGATTATCATAGCAACGACCCTATTTCCGTTTCTCTGGGGCGTTATCGCAACTGCCGCAAATAGCCAGTCACCTCTATTCTTTGCCCAGTCGTATGCGTTCATTTCCATCATTGTTACCATGTTTGGTATTCTGCTTTGTTACATTTGGTTGTACTGGACTGCATTGAAATTGAAGCGGCTGGCGTTTAAGAGGCGTCAAGAGCGGGATGAGTTTACGCTTTGGGCAAAGGCGTCGAGTATGAGGGGTTCGCGAACTCTGAGAAAACGCTGGTATCATGCCTCTACCGTCTTGGAAGAGTTTGGGCTAGACGGAAAAAGTTTGCGTTGGAATGCTGTTGTATTTACCATTGGCTACGTACCGTTACTCGCTCTTTACGTAGCTCAGGCGCTCAGAAGCTACATTGGGGATCCGGATGTTACATGGGGAGCCGTTTTCAGCATCACACTTACATGCGTCTATGTTCTTTCGTGGATGTCGCTGCTGCGTCGGAGATCTCAGTGGTCTGTATATTCATCTTTCTTCCTTATCGCGGTTTTGCTTGTTGTTGGTGTCGTGTGCGGCGGCGTGTTAGCCTCCAAGGCGTTGCTGCTTTTGGTGATTGTACTCTTCATAGCCGCACAGGGGATGCTTGCCCGCAAAACGCCGCATAAGCTAACTAGAAAGGAGCAGTGCGCTCTTTTTCAGATCCCTTTGGACGCTGAAATGCAACACGATGCGCAGCGGCGCAGGTTTGATACACATCTGCTCTGCTGCCGGGATGCCGTTATGAGATGTTTGAGATGCTTTGACGTGAAGACGTTTTTCGGTTATCGTCACCCCGACATTGTCCGCGCTGAAGGTCGGTATGCGCGCGATAACGTTGCCATCAGGACAGATCAAAAGGTGCTTCTGTACTGGTGGCTGATCCTCATGTTTGCCCTGGCGTTTGTCATTTGCATCGGGAACGTCATTGTGTACCGCTTCACCGACAATATTGCCGCAAAAGGCGCCCCCATCCCCGCCCACAGCCCAATGCTGCCGCTGTGTAAATTGCGGTACAACCGCAACGGCTCGGCTCCGCTTACCATATATGACTTGTCTCTCTTGAGTGCCCTCGCCTACACGGTGGCGGGGTACGGCGACGAGGACTTTGTGACGTGGTTTTCGCAGTTTCCCCAACTCGTCCGTCAGTATCCCCTCCGTCTCCAACCCAACTGGGATTACGCAACAAGTGGAGTGGCGATTCCGTTTTCGGACTACACCGATTTGCGCAGCGACTACCACTTTGTGACGTTGAATTCCAACAACCGAGGGTTATCGCTTCTGCGCAACGTTGACGAATGGGGGACGTCTATGGCGGTTCAGGTGGCCGGGGCAATATCGCCTCTGATCAGCATCTGGCCTGAGAGTTACCGGGCCTCCTTTGTGTATGGCGCCTCTTTCTTATTGAGGTGGATTCCGGCCGTGGATGCCCTCAAGGATGTCTCGGACTACCTTGACGGCTTGATTGCGGCTGGGAAAGAAGATCGTATTCTGCTTATCGGCGATCAATTCAACGGTGGATATGCCAAAATTCTTTCCCACAGGTATGGCTTGCCCTTTGTCGCCTTCAACCCTCCTGGCACCAAGTACAAGCTGCCACTGCTGGACAAAGGGGTTCAGATTGCCTTCACCCGTGGGCTTCTCTCCTACGTAGACTCCCTTGAGGACACCTTGGACACCATCTACTTGGCGTGCGACAGCAGTTACTCCTCCAGCCGCTGCAGTAAAATTGAGACCACCATTGACGAGATCGGTGCATTGTGCGGTGATCCCTACGGACGACGTCTCAAGTAGACTCCACCCCTTTCTTTATTGTTTTTGTTACAGTCTTACCGTTTGTATTTTATCTGGTGTTGTTGAAGTATACGAAAGATAGAATGGGGGGAAAAACAAACAAACAAACAAACAATGAAAAAACAACGAAAGGCGTAAAGCAAGAGAGAGGGATAGAGTAGCGTTAGGGGCACGACTGCAGTATTTGTGTGGCTTCACTTGGGAGCGTCCTCCTCTGCGGAGAAGGACTCCCCCGCTTCCTGCGGGAAACAGAACACAAATCTAACAACTCAAAAAAAAAAGTGAAGTACGCTTTGCATCATTCGGCTCTTGCTGCACATCGGGTTTTGTTTCATATTCACTGTCTCCAGACTGCCGCTCAGTCTTAGGAAGGAATATAGGGGAATAGCACCAAAGGAAGAAAAAAAAAAAACTACTGTGTTAGGCGTGTTGAGTTAAAAAAAAAATGTTTCACCGAAGCCTTGTGGTTGCTGCGCGCCACACAATGCCGGTGTATGCGGCCGCCGCGACAAAGGCTGCGCCAACCACAGGAGCAAAGTTAGGTGCAGCGAAGGCGCCCAAGGCACCGCAGATGTCAAAGGTAAATGGAGCCACGGGACCTGACGGAGATTCCGTGCTGGACAAGCTGGTGGTGACTGGCTGCTTGGGCGCCGTCGCTGCCTGGTTCCTCTTTGGACCCCCGATCAAATCCCACCACTAAATTTGGGGCCTAGGATAATTGAGAGTAGGCGTCAAGCGTAGCGTCGCGTTGGGGGCTGGGGCTGGGGGAAAAAGTGTAGGTGGAGGGAGCAGCCAAACAGGAATAGCAATACAAACGGCAATTGCGCTTCGGTTGTTTCTCTTTATAACCTTCTTGCAGTGTGTAACCTTGTTCTTATTATTCTCATTGTTGATTTTGTTGTTGTTTCCCTCCACTCCCCTTCTGTTCCTTAGGTTTTCTTCTTTCGTTGCGTCCTTGCGTTAAAAAGTTTTTTTTTTTTCTTCCCGTGACCAGTGAAGAGGTTTTAAAAGTATCTATCCTTATATATATATAAGCTGTGTAGAGAGGGTTTGATTGGGCGCTAACAGGGGTGTGATTAACTGTGTGGATACAATGGCCTATAAAAGGACGGCGCTGACGGAGTTAGAGGCCCGTATGCAAGACACCCGGTTTCCATCCTTTGGATCCCCGCTCTATAGAGGGACCGCTTCACAGCAGGAGTGGAACTCGAATGTGGTTGTACAGCCGCTGCAGTACCGTGGTGAGTCTCAGGTAGCGCTGCCGTTTCAGCAACACATGCCACCACGACCGGTTAAGCTTCAAACAAGAAGGGTACTTGGGACAGAGGCTGCTGACGTTGCACAGAGATCAAGCCCGGTTCAGAATTTGAATAATGCCATTCCTTGCTCATCTTCCCCACTCGCTGAGGAGCGCTATCCGTCTTTAGGAGGCCTTTACAGACCTGCATCCTCGACTGGTTCCCAGCCTTGCGGCAAGCTTGCCCCAGCCAAGTCATCTTCACCTCCGCAGCGGGCGGCCTCCGCAGTGATGGCGCCCCCGCGCACAAAGTCTACGTACCACGATGGTTGTGGCACCATTGTAGAGGAGCGGGATCCCTTGACGAGAGAGGTCATGCATAGGTACCGCTGTGGAGCGTTGCTTGGCACGGGTGGTTTTGCCCAAGTCTACGAATTTAAGGATTTGGCGACGAATGCGCAATATGCGGGGAAGATAATTGATAAAGGAAACTTGGTGCGTCGTGGATCTGAGGCGAAGTTGCGAATGGAAATCGACATCCACCGCAGAGTGAGGCATCCGCATATTGTGCAGTTTGTGAAGGCCTTTCAAGATGACTACTACCATTATATTCTCCTGGAACTGTGCAGCAAGAAGAGTTTGATGGATTTGTCAAAGGAGCGAGGTGTTTTTAATACCAGCGAAATCCAGTACATCATGACTCAGATTGTGTCGGCTGTCGAATATATGCATAGTAAGTTGGTTATTCATAGAGACTTAAAGCTCGGGAACATCATGGTAGATGCTTCCGGAAGCATGAAGGTGGGGGATTTTGGGTTTGCTAGCGAGCTTGTCTCCGCGTCGGAGAGGAAGAAAACGACGTGTGGCACGCCCAACTACATTGCTCCCGAGGTGCTTGCGACAGAAAAGACGGGGCTGGGATACGGGCTGGAGGCGGACGTCTGGAGTTTGGGGGTGATCCTGTTCACCTTGGCCTTTGGCACGCCGCCGTTTGAGACGAAGGACATTAAGACGACGTACAACAGGATACTCCGCGTGTATTATCGGTTCCCAACTGGGACGGCGGTGCCAGAGACTTGCAAGGATCTTATTCGTTCGATGCTGCAAAAACAACCGCAGGACCGACCCAGCCCGGCGCAAATCTTAACTCACACTTTTCTGTGCCACCCCTCGCCTCCTAGCACAGTGCCAAGGTCGCTTCTGCCTCCGCAAGCACCTAGATCTGCGTCCTCCAATGGGCGTGGGAGCCCATTGTGGGCCTCACCCATTGCGATTCATTCCCCGTTTGCGTACTATGACGGTTTGCCGATGGAGTACCAGAAACATGCCTTGCGAAAGGAGGAGCACAGGCCAGGAACGGAACATGAAATACAAATGACGCTGCACGAGTTTCTCAAGGAAAACGATTGCTTCAGCGAGGCAGCATCGGAGGCGCGTCATTCAAGTGCACGTGGTAAGTTAGTTTTACCAAAACCTCCTTTACCTGCAGTCATTCTTAAGAGCAGTGTTCACTCGAACAAGTACGGCTACGGATTTCTCTCGTATCAAGCTGGAAAACAGTATCCAATTGTTTTTCTTAACGATAAAACGAAGCTGATCTACGACGTTGATGCCGATACGGTTTTGTACTACGGAAGAGCTTCCATGCAAGCAGTCGCCACACGCGCCGGAAATCGAAGTCCACTGCTAAGTGAAGAGCTTGCCGCCAAGGGATTTCGTGATGAGCTGGTCGTTTTCCCCAACGCCACAAAAACGTTGGCGCAAAGCAATGCAGGGAATGATGTCGCGAGTCCTTTGGAGGCGAATGCCGCGAAAAAACTAGCTATAACAAAGTTTTTCCTCCCCTACCTTGAAGGTAGCAGGAGGGATGAGCACGCTGTGACGCTGCCGTGCGCCTTGAGGGGGTGGGACCCGGCCTGGGAGACGGAGCTGTTTGCTCCGCGTGGCGCAGGTGACGAGCAGGGCAATATTGTCTACGTGAAGGATGCTGTTCTGAGGTCGTTATACAAGTTGACAGGGGAGTATCACGACGCGGATATTCAACTTCTTGTCGCCCGCATGTCGGATGGCTCCTTTCATGTTTCTGTGCGTTGCGGCGGTGCACCTCAGCCGTTGTTTCGCCCCAAGTACAACACACTTGAGTCAGACGAAGACACTTTGCCGTGGTGTCTGGACATTCTCGTGTATGCAGGGTTTCGTGCGGTGATGGCGATGAAGACAAAACAGTCTGTTTTAGTGCTCTCCTTTTGGGACATCAGACGAGACGCCAAGACTGTGGAGGGTGGAAGGGTCTACTTTGCGGCGGGAAGTACGACGCAGGTAGGGACCATCATGTTGCCAACGGCCTTAATGCGCACGATCACCACCCTGCTTCGAAAGGCCCGCTACTGCAACGGTATTGTGGACTGCTTTTGTTGAGGTGGCAGCGTGCCCCGTCTTGGGTCTTGCGCACGAATTGCACCACGAATTTGTGTACATGCGGTCCCACACATACAAACATAGATTTAGAGCTCAGGCAACTACTGAGTGCATAAATTACTGACTTCACAAACAAACCAAAGCAAAAACAAAAAAAAAACAAAAAAAATGGACTGGGAATGTGGGGTGAGTGGGTGGGTGGGTGGGAAAAGTGTTAAGAAAA